AATAAAATTATCTCACAACTTCGGATATCATAGTAAATTGATAGTAAGATTAAATTATACAATGAAAATAAATTTTGTAATACACATTTGCGTTAAAAGTGACATAACCTTAGAATTTTTTTCACAGTCCTATTCTAAAAGGGACACGCCTGACAATCGATTATCTCGAAAATCTCGAAATCATGACGCGACGATTCCTTATTGGTCCGCCTAAAGTGGCGCGAGATTACAAATTCGTAACTCTCTTACAGAAATCGTTGCATACCAGCGCGCTGACGCGCGTTTGTAGTTAAATCGTACATGCGGTGTGGACCAGTTTTGTGAAGAACTGAATACATGCTCATCATTCCGACCAAACGTTCCCCGCAAATTATTGACCCGCCAAGGGTTTTCTGCAGTGGGAAAAAAACAATAAATTTAGTCGGCAAAATAAAAGTCATTAGTGGAAGTAATTCATTTGTATTAATAGCCGGCACTCGGTTTATATTCATGCTTACATCGGGTAGAATTATAGACGGGGCAAAATCTTGGAAACATGCGTGGTTCTCAGGAACATTCACCCTTTTTTTTAGGCACGATTGTCGATCGGAAAGCCTCACTGGCATCCAGTATATGATGCCATTACGTCCATTCAACCCCACGTATTCACACATTAAGTTACTATAATCTCTTGGAGGAGCGAATGGAATTATTCGAATCGTGTCACTCAATTCGGCCTCCGCCATGAGCTGAAAAAATATGAAAAAATGAAAATGGAAGAAGTGGTGGTTTCCGCTATGAAAATACGGATATAATAGCATGAAATATAAAAACTTTCCTAAAAAATCATGCAAACATTAATTTTTTTTTTTGCACAAATCGTGCGGGAAGTGACTCGTACAGTGCCACAATCATCTATATCATCTCGACATAATCATTCTTGTTCATTATTAGGGCTTACCACCACCCTAAAAACTTACCCTAAAAATGATAAGTGTAGGGTATGTCTCATCGTAATCTTCAGAAACTGGGATCTGTGGAGTATAACAATTGCGCACTGATATGCATCCCAATTGGATCATAATGCTTACAGGCCTGCGAAACATATGGGCGGCAGACCCTAAAACCAGGCGTCGAGCGATCAGGGCCCCAATGGCAACCGGCCCATTACTGTATCTAATGATTGCAATGAAAGGAAACTGCCCCAAGGCAACCGGTAATGCCCAGTTCTCGCTCTTCACTTCTGAAAATAGTTTATCATTACTGTTAATAGGCTAGTCCTGGTGAATTGTCCGTGGCAGAAAAACTTCGGTACAGGTTATTATTAACGGGATTTGATTATTTGGAAACGATAGAGACATCATCAGTCAAATGAATTTCGGATGTTCCTATTCTGATGCCAATTTTTTGGTTGATTAGTTAATTATTTTGATAAATATTCACCGATTAGGGGCGATGTTACACGAACCAAATCACATCCATATGGATATCTATTTATTATTTCGCTGGGAGAAATCGGCAATCGGAATTTCATTTGAGATGGTCAAGATATTGGACATATGTGGAAAGAAAAATTCTCATAATGATAATTATTATTTAGCTCTTACCTGAAAGAGTTGCTACAATTGTTAATAATAATAGGATAAATCTCGAAGCCATGATGAATCTATAATGCTGTTCCACGGACTGTCAAGACAAGAATCTTACGTGTTAGAAAAAAGCACTAGAAAATTTTACAGTCTGGCATCTAGTTTTTATCAATTTCAAAGAGAGAAAAATATCGGAAAATTAATATGAATAGTCACGTCATCGTGGACAGTAAAATCATTTGAATAAATTTTATCTGAAGTTCTAGGAAAAACTGAGATAGTAAAGTTTATTATTTTCTACGAAAAAAATTTATTGAGAACTTCTTGAGCACCCCTTCCTCTTTCCCTCAATGTCTACTTTTACTAAACTCGCGACCACCAAAAAATCAATCATCTCAATGAAATCGATAACTCCTGTAATTGTAATATTTGGTTTTTCTATTGTGACCAGAAAATTTGGAACAGTGTTGGTAGTTTCTATTTGGCAATATGATTGGTTAGGAAAAATTCAAAGTGAGAGATGGGTAGAATGGTTTTGGTTGAAAAGAAAAAAATTTCACAGATTCTTTTTTTTATATAGGCTATAATAAACTGTAATGCAGTGAGAAAAAAAA